CGCCTCCGTACGTGTCCCTGGACCTCCCCGCCTGGCCCGTGGCGGCGGGGCCCGGCGGCACGGTGCGCAGCTTGACCGCGGCCATCCACCAGCAGCTGCTGCAGCCTCGCCTCCTCTTCAGACCCCAGGAGGACTTGGCGTCCCCCGGCCACCAGGGCACCGTTCCCGGAGCCCCGGGAGAGGAGCCGTCCTCTGGGACCCGCGCGGGGAGGGGCTCGGAGGAGGGCGAGCCGGACGCCTCGGGCGCGGACGATGGGGGCGACAGCAGCGACCACGACTTCGAGATGGTGGATTTGAACGAGAAATTCGTCCTAGGCCACTTGCTCGTGGCCCCCTGCCGGCTCGGGCCCCTGGATGACGCCGAAAAGCCGGCGCGGGCGAGCAGCCCCCATCGCTGGATGCACCTGATCCCCGGGGGCCGGCGGCAGCAGCGCAGGAGCCGGGACCTGGAGCAGCTGGAGTCGGAGGCCAAGGACGGGCGGGGCTCGCCCACGGCTTCCGAGGAGGCCCCCCGGCGCGGGGCCCGGGAGCACCTCCCCCTGTGGCGGCGCAAGAGGTTCCTGAGGGTGCCCGAGCGGGACTCCCCCAGCCACAGCTCGCCCGAGAGGGGCAGCGACTGCAGCTCGGACCGCGAAGACTGCTCCTCTGCAGGTAGGTGCACCCCCGTCTAGATCCCCGCTTCGCGCACCCCTGGGTGCTGCTGGTCACCTCCTGCATCCCATCACAGGCACACCTGGTGGGTCCTGTTTAACCTCAGGCCCCTGGGAAGAAGGGAGATAAGATTTACCTGTTTACCTTGAAGCCACTTGTGGAACTTTAAAAAATCAAACCACGTAGTGCCCTAGCGCAAGATCATGAAAATAAGCGTTATGGCGATGGCAGGGGGCGATGCAATTGCGCGCTTGGCCGGACCATGGGAGGACCGTCTCACCTAGGCCTCAGCCTTTCTGCTCTGACTATTGCAGCATCGCCCATTCGCGCCCCTTCCAGCTCACCACCCTCCCCAGGTCTGTCAGATTCCTTTGCGACACCCGGATGGCATCCTTCTCTGAACAAACTCAGATTCCTTGATGTGGAGGTCTAACTCTTCCACTTAATTTTCTGAACTTCTCTCTCCTCTTCTCCAGGCTGGCCGAATTGAAACAGGCTATCATATCACTCTGAGGAAGTTGCATAACCCTCACTGTCCCCTGCCTTTGCTGACTGGTCCCCTTCCTAGAAGCCTGCGCTTCACCTCTCATAGTCCTAGGAGCATGAGTGGGAAGGGAAGGGCTTAGAAAATCATAGAATCTTCAAGCTGGCCCGGTGCCCGGAGATCTTGTTTAGTGCAGTGTCTTCATTTGATAAAGGAGGAAACTGAAGCTCAGAAAGATCAAGTGCTTGGTCGGAGCGAGCTGATACTTCTACCTGGACCTCCTGTCGTTTGTTGTTTCCCCTCACATCTGCTGCCCTCTTCTCTGAGGACAGGACCGCACCTTAGTCATTTTGCGTCCCATTGTGATGGTCAGCATGGCACCTTGCACGTAGTAAGTGCTCAATAAATATTTTTTTGAATAAATGTCTCCTAGCCACCCAGCTCCTCCCTCATAGGTCAGGGAGGAGGAAAGAACTCAGATACCGTGTTGCCTGTGATGGCTCCTCTGCTGCCCCCTGGACGGTCAGGGCCTCCTCAGCCATAGGGAAAGTATAAATTGGTGTCTGGCTGGCTTAAGCTGTGACCAGGAACTTCAGATGCCTTCCTGCTAAGTGAAGGAAGAAAAAAATGACTGATGCTGGGATTGTTCCAAAATTTCCATTATTAGATTTTATCTGGGTAAGTTTGCATTTGAATGAAAAACTGTCTACTTTGCTAAAAGCACATTTGGAAGGTCCATCAAGTCATCTGTTGTGATCAATTACACTTATTCATTAGCAGAGATTGGCTGCTTTTCCCATAGGTCATGCTTTTGCCGCCCATGCTAGTAACAGTTTTTATGTGCCCCTTTAACTTAAAAGAAGAGTCTGAAGATTGCACTCTAGTGCCAAGTATCAAATGCTCTCAGTGGAGGCTACCCAAGTGGTCCAGCACTGCTTCAGAGCCACAGACCCACATCAATCACCCTGCCAGGTGTGCCCAATGCCCTGGATTTTCCCCAGGGAGTGACTTATTTCTGGGAGCTGTCTCCAGGCCACTCAAGCCCAGAGAGCACCTAGATGCAGATTAGGAACTAGCATTCCCTCTGGCTTTGCGCTACAAAAGGTGCCCCCTCTGTGTGGATCAGTGATAAAATAAGATTCTCCTTCCTCTGGACTGAAGACTCCAGGGCACATGTCTGGCACTCACGGCTTCGGCTGGCGGTGCCTGGGCTGTATTTCAGGCCCATTCCAGGACCTCTCTTGAGGGCAAGCTTTGCAGGGACCCCTGCATGGCTGCATGTGGGGGCCATGCCTCCTGTCTCCAAAACCTCCCCAGTGAGGAAGTGAATGCATACATATATGCACATGCATACGTATATGCACACACATCCACACACTTCTATACATGTGTACACGCATGCTCACAGTCACATACATGTTGCGCATTGGCACACAATCTAGGAGGAGACTTTAGACATACACAGTGGCACTAGAGTGGAGGGCTTAAGGGCAGGGGTTTTCACACTGTGGGTGACAGCCCACTGAAATCATGTGATGAGGAATGAAAGCACTGCCAGGCCTGCCTTGGCCACCCTTGGCCACCCCTCGGCTCTCCCTGTTTTATTTTTCTCCATCTCACTCACCAAATTACCACCTCAGATGAAACCATTTTGCGTGTGGATCTTCTTCATCTTTCTCTGCAGCATAATGCAAACTCCAAGAGGGCAGGGTTTTTTGTCTTTTTCATTCACTGACATTGTCCCAAAGCCTAGAACAGTATCTAACACATATTAGGTGTTCCGTACATATTGGTTGAATGATATATATTTATTTTGAATGGGACAGAGTAGAAAAGAAAACATCAGAGTGCATTGCACATGGTAATGGTGAGTATTATTCTGTTAAAAACTTTGTCTCAATTATGTATGAATGTGTGGGTGTATACTGGGTCCTGCTGTAGAATGTACTTCTTGGTGTGGGTTGGACAAAAAGCTTTGGAAACGCTGATAATGACCGTGGGCTCTGAAGCTAGATTGCTTGTGTGACCTTGGGAGAAGTTATTTGAATTTTCTGTGTCTGAGTTTCCTCATCTGTAACATGAGGCTAATAACTGCTTACGTCATACCGTTGCTATGAGGAATAAATGGGATATTATTTCTAACGGGCTTTGAACAGGTCCTGGAATATAGCACATTTACCCATAGCGTTCACTAACCATGGCTACAGGTTGTTTTCTTTGAGTCAATGCTTCCCACTTCCAGATCATCCTGAATCACAGATGGTTTGGCTTTCTATGATGCATGTGTTTTTCCTAGCAAGGCTCTGGCCCTTTCTAGTACCTTCCAGGCAGTGGGCAGGACCCAGGGCATAGTGGTCATCTTAGCTCATCATAAGGCTCCCTTGCTGGATTGGTCCTCAAGTTGCTTCTCCCTCTCCTCCAGCAATCATGCCCACTTTCTAAATTCAGAGGTCCTTAAAGGAAGGTCAGGTTTATTGGGCAATTCAGACTTTGCCTTCCTCTCAGGATCTCAAGGAGAGCACATGAGACCTCTTATAAAAAGGCCCAGAGGCAGTGGAGCTCCCCACCCTGGAAAGGGCCTGTTTTCTCTTAGATTAGGGGCCAATCCTCATACCAAGACACATTTGGGTTTTGGTGTTTTTTTTACATATAGTAACTATATCAGAAATCAGTTAGAATGCCCTTTTTTTTTTTTTTTAGCATCGTTCTTGTAGAGCCTTGTAGCCTTGCTTGGTACCAAGAAAGACTAGGCCACGTTGCCATGAATTGAGGGTGCTGATGTAAATGGGGTGGGGCATGGGGGAGCTACACAGTTAAAATCAGATCTGTTGGATCTTGTGTGCTGTGAAGTCATACCTGTGTCCATGCCCTGGTTCTGCCCCTCACTAGGTGTGAGACCGTGGGCAAGCCACTGACCTTTTTAATCCAACACTTACTAAGGGCTTACTTGGTGCCAGCTCTGCTATAAGCGTTTTACATGTATTAACTCATTTATACCACACAACAGCTTTATGAGATGGGCACTATGATTATTTTCATTTTACATATGAGAATCTTGAAGCCCAGAGAGCTTCAGTAACCCTACCGAAGGCCACCCAGCTTATAAGCGGCACTTAAGGATTTGAACCCAGGCAGTCTGACCCCTGAGCCTACCTCTTAGGATAGTTAAGATTAACTACAATAAAATATTTAAAGAGTTTAGCAAAGCATCTGGTACATAGTGCCCATTAAGTGCACAATGTGTAGTGTATCTGTGTGTGTGCATTATTATTATTTTCTTTATCAGTAAAGTCCCTAGAAGACCAGTCCATCTGCTGCTGAGGCCAACCATCAGGGCTGCTGCCCACTGTGAGGCTCCGGGGTGGATTTGGCCTCATAGGTGAGCAGACTACCTGCTGGATTTTAGACCTTCCCTCCTCAGCTGGGCACTCTTGGGCAGCCACAAATGCATGCCCACATGAGAAGGCCCTGGTATTCTACTTTTCATGCTGACATGCTTCTGGGCCACCTCTGCCATAGAGGTTGAATGACATGTCCTTCTGGGGGTTTAATCCTGCCTCTTTTGAGAAAGAGGAGAACCCTAGAGCACTAAAAGTAAACCGAAGGTCACATGCTCATGACTCTTAAGGTAGGGCCTCCCAGCCAGATCTGGGCTTTTCCTATTGTATCCTGTATCCTTTCCTGGGATTTTAAGCAGAGAACACTAATGATGTGAGTCCTGTCAGAGTCATAGTAAAAGGAGCAGCAGACCATCTCATTTAGCCTCACAGCCGTATCAGCGGGTGGAAATTATTGGTCCCATTTTATAGGTGAAGGTGCTGAGGCTTGGAGAGGTAAAGAAATTTACCCAGAATCAAACAGCTTGTGATGGAGTCAGTCTTGTCATTTGAACTTGGGTCAGTCTTACAAGGCTGAACTCTCTTAACTTCCAGCATGTCATGCTGTCCTGGGCCAGCTGTAAGAATTCTAGATTTCTCAACGTGGGAGGCCTTGCCACCAGATTCTGCCAATAAAGCTGCCGATGAAGACTTTTTATTTTTAATCTTCGTGGGAAACGCATTTCCTGCTAGGTACTCATATTGCTTAGTTCATTTGTGACCTGGCAGGGTTTTTTCCCCTTCCCGTTAGTGACTAATGGGATTTTTGCTCCAGAAAAAATTCCTTGTGTTCAGTGGATGTGTTTGAATAACTTAATTCAGAGTCTTGACTTTCTAGCCTTAGCTGTAATAAAAAAAAAATTTCATTCCCTTTTGTGGAAAGACATTAAAAAACTACCTGAGACACCTGAGCTGGTGGCTGGCTGTGATTCATTTATACCTGGAGCTGATATTGCCTTACTGCTGGATTCTTCCCTGCTGGCCTCCCTCTCCTCGCCCCCGCCCTCTGCATCTCGTGAACACTTTTACTAGTCAGTTAGAGGGTATGGGTGGGTTTAACAATTTCCTCCTTCTCTACAACCAATCCTTTTCTACTCCTCTAGTCTGTTTTTCTTCTTACTAAGAGACTGTTCACAAAGCAATTGACTCTATATTTGACTCTGGATCTTTATGTTTTAAAATCAGGATCTTCATACATTTTCCAGGCTTTGAAATAATGGTACGAACACTTTCTGCATCTAAACGTTGGGCTTGATGTTCCTCAGCTTGCAGGGTTGTGAGGCTTACATTGGACCAGTTGCTGACTTTCTCTAGGCCCCAGGTCCCTTGTCTGCCAAGTAGGGGTGATAATGATAGGACTATGTATGTCATAGGCTTATGAAGCTTCAGTGCGATAATTATTAAAGTGCATAGCACACAGGTGGGCACATAAGTGTTTAATAAGTCTTAGATGGTATAATTGTTACTGATCTAAGTACAGAAACTTACAGTTTGGCTGAACCAAGACACGGTTCATATTCACGTCTTTTCATATAATGAAGTTCCCCACCCAGGCCTCTTTCTCTGCCTCTTTCTCTTTTTTCTCACCTTCCTCCAGGTCCAGGGGTATTTTGCTCCTTTGTGGTCCCTCATCCTTCCCCAGTCAAGCCCTGTCTCCCCCTATATCTTCAAAACCATTATCTGGCTTCTTATTTCCTACTCTCTACCCACTTGCTTTCAGCCAGTGCTCCTTCCTGCCAGTGTCTTCTCCTGTGCTCTTTCTGGCATTTGAGGTGCCCTCCCACCTCCATTCGCCCAGTTGCAAAGCCAACCTTTCCTTTAAGGCCTAGCTTTTTTATGGAACCTTGTATTGTTTAAGATATGGTTTTGCCATATAAGACAAAACCCAAAAAAGGGTTTCCAGCAGGATAGAGGTTTATTTATCTCTCATATAAAAGAATTCCAGAAGTAAGCAGTCCAGGAAGAGTCGGGTGACTCCACCATCATCAGGAACTCAGGCTTCGTTTGCCTTTTTGCTTTTCTGTCTCAAGGTTACCTCATGGTCCAAAATAGCTGCTGGAAATCCAGTCATCACATTCATGTTTCAGACAAGCATTAGAAGAAAGGGAGTGAGGGACAGCTCTTGGTTTGCCTGTTAAGGCACTTTCCTGGAAGTCTCTCTTAACAATTTCTGTTTACATTTCATTAGTCACCTCTAGCTACAAGGGGGGCTGGGAAATGTAGTATTTTATCTGGGCATATGGCCACCTCATAGAAAATAGGGGCTCTGTTACAAGGAAAAATGGAAGAATTGATATCGAGTAGGCAACTAGCAGCCTCTGGCACAAGCCTTTTCCAGCTACTCCAACCCATCTTGTGGTTCTTAAAGTGAGCCTCACACTCGCACAATTGTCTTATTATAGTGCCATCTATTAGTTCATTGGCCCAGTGAACAAATAACAACTGCACCACTGCTCTGTGCAAGGCACAATGCCTTTTATATATATACTGTGAAGTGTTGCTCTCAAACTGAGAGGTTAGCTGGCTCCTTGAGGGCGAGGAATGTGGCTTGTGCTTCTTTCACTCACAGCAATATCTTTCACAGGGCTGGGCACATGGTAGGCACTTGATAAGTACCCGTTGATTTTGGAGTAGTCATAGTGAGAAGGTCATTGAAAACACAAATTCCCTGACTTGGTACTGTACTAGACAGTTCTGGTTGTGTAAGGTTTCTTTCCGGTTCCTTCTGGTTTTGAGGAACCATAGCGGGAAGAGTGGGGCATGGAGTATCTCTAAACATCGGGGCTGCATTGTAGCCGCATAGACTTGTCCAGGCGTTGGTGGTAGATTTGGCTATTTTGGATACTGGACTCTGTTTGTATAGCAAACTAGAATTATAAGCAGAAATCTCTGTGCGCACCTGACTTTCTTTTCCACTGCTGTGTCTGTAGCTGTATGAACATCACGTGAGTCTCTCTTGTTATTTCTGCTCTGCATAGCTGCAGAGTAAATCTGCAGTCTCTCTGTAGTGAGCGCCACATTCGGTTCCCGTTTCTGTCCTCCCATCTGATCCCCAGACAAGACTGTCTGACAGGAGGTTGCCTAGAGCTTGTGTCACATCTTGAAGCTTCTAAGAAAATGATTGTTTTAAAATTTTTATTGGCACTTAGGAGGAAAGAAACTAGAATATATTTAGCTTCTACTACCTGCAAGGCACTGTGTTACGTGTTTAACCTACGTTATCACATTCAATATTTAGAGCAGTCTACTGTTCTGGTCTGACTATAAAGTACTACTTTTCTTATTTTGCAGATGAGGAAACTAAGGCTCTAACAAGTTTCCAAGTCAGCTTAGAGCTAAGTAGTGGGGTTATATTTTTCCTCCTATTTTAAAAATTAATTAGTTAATTTTATTGAGAGATATTCACATATTATACAATTCACCCTTTTTAAGTGTATGGTCCTGGTTTTTAGTAGATTCACAAAGTTGTGCAACCATCTCCACTCTCTAATTCCAGACCATTTTCATGGGGAGGCGGGGCTGTTTTTGAGTCTAGGCTTCTCCTACAACCGTGCCATTTCCTTTTCTAATTTGCCACATGCAGTGATTTAAAATAACTAGAACCAGATCTGGGGAAATATCAGGTGAGATATGTACATAAAAGGACCATCCACTTCTTCAGTTACTTTCCCATCAAGGCAGCGGTCCTGGTGCCCCTTTGAATTGCTGCAGGATGGGTCTGGCCTCACTTCCTTTGGCCCCGTCTTACCCTGTTTGTGTTTTCTAGACTTGAGATAAGGGGCAGAACATCCCAAACTTGAGGTTCCATGAGCACCCCTCATTCCTGCCATGGGGTTATTGTTGGCATGGTGAGAGGGACCCTTGTACTGACCTGTGTCTTTTTTGTCTTTGTAACCCCAGAGTGTCATAGTGCCTGGGAGATAGAAAATGCTCAATAAACGTTCGTGAATATTTAGACATTCATTTCATTGCCTCTCATTTAAACCACTGCAATAACCAGTTGTTGTGCCTCTAACCTTTCTCCTCTAGCCCCCAGTCATCTTCGGAATTAAGACAAAGTGATCGCCCTGGCCCCTAAATCTCCTTAAATTATACTGAAATGATCATACTGGCTCTGTCCCTTTAAAAAGCTTTCCTCCTAAGCTCTACCTAGCAACTGCGGTTTCCATGCTATTGGCCAGCGGTGGGTCACATGGCCATTAGCTCGTGAATCAGAAATTTTAGCTCTTCAGCCTCCGGTGTAGAGAGTGTTCAGGGCGAAGGGCATTGTGAATGGCTTTTGGAAAACCGGCCCACAACCCTTCCCTGAACTTTGCACATTCATTTGAGCAATTAGAAAACGGTTGAAAGTGGTTTGCTTCTTTGTTTCCCCCACTGGATCCTAAGCCCTTAAAGTGTGTGTTAAAAGGGGACCACTTCTTTTTTAATCCCAGCATCCCTGCCCCTAGCACAATGCTGCTGGCATATTGTATTTACTGAGCGCGTAAAAGAATTATTGTACATTTTCAAGTAAGAATTGTATGGGATTAGAGCACCTGAGCAGACTCACATGCCTCAGGGACACGTTGCTGTGAGCCCTTCCAGCTCACTCCCGTGTCCAGCCCACCAGTGGAGAATTGGCCATTGTGTGCCCCTCTTCCTAATGGGCGTGTGTTGTTTCCTGAAGGTGGGCAATGCGGAGAAAGGCTGGTACTACAAACTTGGCCAACTAGGCCCTCCCCAACTAATGGAGACCTGTGCTAGTTATTAGGACTGTAAACTAAATATTTTGGTTCCCCCATTGCTTTCTGAGAACATGGTGGGTAGGATTACATTACTGGTTCCCTTGAAATCGGGTAGGACTATTTGCCTAGTTCTGTTCAATGCGTTTGAATGGAAGTGATGTGTGCAACTTCCAGACCAGAGCATTTAATGCTAATACGAGACCCTTCAGAGCTCACTTTTCCCTTTGCGATTGCAATGCACAGTGTTCCAGATGGTGACTGCTCTGTCAGCCTGGGTCCTAGGGAGAGGGAAAAACAGCAGAGCTCCTAATCAACCCTCGATGGGCATGTACTTGAGTGAGAAATAAACCACTGTTAATTTAAGCCACTCAAGTGTGGTGCTTTTTGTTACTGCAGCATTACCTAGTTTATCCTCACTGATACAAATACCTGACTTATATTCATACAAAAGAATGGCTTTTCTGAGCCTAAGAAATCAAAGTATTTTCCTCAGAACTTCCAAGTTCCCTTCTCACTAAGGCCAAGTGACAACCATAGCTGTTTGTATGTGTACATAAAATGGTAAATCTCAAAAATGTAACAGACAATGTTAGAAATGGCTAAATTGTTTCACCGTTGCTTCATTCAGTGATTTGCTGGAAGGATTTATAAGACTCGATAGCAGATTATACTCATGGCTAAGATTTTTTTTTTTACAGTACCTGACATATAGTAAGCTCTGTGTAAATACAGTCATTGGTATGACAGTCAAGAGCATACTGTCTAGGACCACATTGTCTGGATTTGAATCCCAGCTCTGCCGCTTAACTGCTTTGTGACCCTGGGCTAAGTTAAGTTTTTTGTGCCTCAGTTTCCCTATCTATAGACTGAGGGTGATAATAATATGATAACAATACCTAATTAAGTTGGTTTGAAGATAAAATTACTCAATATATAGAGCACCTAGCAGCTGGCACACAATAAGTGTGTATTGGTTTATTTTATTATTATCGCAGTCATTACGGGTTTGGCCATATCTGTTGCTGAGATAGACTGGAAAGGTAAAAAATGGTATCTTACTCATCTTGTTGCCTGAGCGTATCCTTAACTGAAACCCGAGGCTTCAGGAAATCCTGCAGCTTGAGTAATCCAAGAGCCGGAGCCGTGGAGCATCCAATTACCATGCCTCACAGCTGCAGCTGGGAGGAAGGTGAGGCCCCAGTTCTGTCTAGCTGAGGTTGTGGTCCTATTATGGAGAAAGCCTTGCTTTGTATGCAGCTGCCTTGCCTTGGTTCGGCTGCATAATTGCGCCTTTTTGTTTTATTTTAAAGCATCTTGAGGAATTCAGAGCCCTCTCCCGCTGACAGCAGCAAAGCCAAAGAGTGCCATGTCTCTAATGAGCCTTGCGGGCTCTCTGATGGCCCCATGGAGGCGTCCAGGCAGGGAGCACACACACAGGCCCCCACCGGCATCCACAGGCTCCCTTTGAGCATAGGCCACCACGCTGGACTTCATTGTGGGCCTCCCTGAGCTACTTCCAGGGTACCCCAGGCCTGTCCTCTTTGTCTCAGAAGGGCACAGAGTTGCTTCCTGAATGCTAGGCTTGTTGGTAACCTTTGTGGGCTGGCGGCGAGAAAACAGAAATTAATTATTCATATCAGCAGGCCTGAAGGAGCTGTTGTTTGCAGGGTTGACTCTCCTTCTGGCTACCAGACCCAGAATTCCCCAGGGCCTTTGGACAAGCAGAAGACAGTGTGGTTCTTGGAGACAGCTGCTCTGAAAGTGCCGAGGTGGCAAGTGGCCGGCCCCAGGCTACGTACAGTCTGCTGATGTGTTTTGTTGGACTGCAGAGGGTTAAAACAAAATTAAAAACATTTAAAATTGGGAGATTTTATATAAAATCTGACTTCTGGCTTTTCTTGAAAGATGGGAAGTTTTACAATACATGTGGAAATCATCAGGCTGAATAGCTGACCCCTTCAGACCGGACATGATTCCCTAATTGCTTCAGCCTTTGTCTGGCCCCTTTGTCTGCTCACATTGTGAGAGGTGTGTGTATAGTGTAGTGAACCAAGCAAGACTCTGGAGCTGAGCTGCCTGGCCTTGCAGCCTGCCTCTGCCACTACTAGCAGTGTGCCCTTCAGCAAATTACTTAACTGCTGTGGGCCCCAGTTTCCTTATCTGTAAAATGGGGATGATACATAGTTTACATCACAAATGAGATGATGTGAGAACTAAGTTAGTATAAGTGCTTAGGACAATGCCTGTCACATATTAAATGCTGCTTAGTTGTTTATAGCTACTAGTATTACACTACCTGCCTAGTGTTTTAGTTATTTTTTATTTTTAAAATATATCTTTATTGATTTCAAAGAGAGGAAGGGAGAAGGAGAGAGAGATAGAATCAATGATGAGAGTCATTGGTCTTCTGCCTCCTGCATGCCTCCTGCTGGGGTTTGAGCCTGAACCTGGACATATGCCCTGACCAGCAATCGAACCAAGATCTCCTGGATCATAGGTCGATGCTGAGCCACACCTGCCGGGCTGCCTAGTGTTTTAGGAATTTGAGATCACAATCCCTGTATTAAAGAGTTTTCCATAGAGGGGGGAAAAAAATGTAATTATTTCCTAGTGTTCCTCTTAACTCAATAAGTATTTATTCCCTCCTCCAACCCCCAATCTCAGTAACAGAGTAGTGCTACCTACTGTAACAAACTAACTGCAATGTATCTGTGGCTTAACAGGCTAAGTTTCTTTTGGTTTACATAGCAGTGAATGTAAGTCTTCCTGATGGGCAGGTTTGCGCCCCACGGTCACTCAGAATCCGGGCTCCTGCACTCTTGTGGATCTGCCCTCCTCTAGGTAGTTCTCAGCTTTCAGAGAGCACTAGGGGAACGAGACACACTTGCTTCTTAACTCTCTTAGCCTAGAAGTGATACCCATTTCTTCCTTTCCTATTCCATTGGCAAAGATGAGGCACATGTTCCCTCTTAGATGCAGGGGTCCTGGCAAGTATAGCTCCTGACTCGGCAGTTGCTCCCCAGCAAGAGCCCTACTCTGGGGAGGGGGCTGGGGCAGGAATCCTTGGAGGACCCCCAGCTGTCTTTGCCATCACAGTCATTGAATAAGCCCCCAAATCAACATCCTCCTGGACCTATTTTCTAGTTGTCTCTTTTAGCCTGTGAAATGTTTCCAAGGATGACTGCCTTATTTTTGTTTTGTTTTTTGTTTATTGGGGAGAGAAGGAGAGAAACAACTTCATGCTTTAAATTCGTATTAAGACCATAAAAGCATTGATTAGGGTATCGAAATTAGATTTGGGCAATATATTTCATCTGAGTTACCTATTTGGAGAGAAATATAATGTAGCTCTTGTGTTATATACATATTGAAATAGCTGTGAAATTTGAGGTAAAAAGACATTTACAATCAGAATATTTAGAGACAAATCTTAAATCTCTACACTTTTTTCTCCTTTAAATTGGGCTAACAGTAGACATTTAGCATTTAGCCTTTTTAAGGTAGGTAATTTAAACTTGTTGCCCTGGCTGGTTTTACTCAGGGGTTAAAGCGTCGGCCTGTGGACTGGAGGGTCCTGGGTTCGATTTTGGCCAAGGGCACATACCTCGGTTGCAGGCTCAAACCCCAGCCCTGGCCGGGGTGTGTGCAGGAGGCAACCAATTGATGTGTGTCTCTCACATTGATGTTTCTCTCTGCCTCTCTCTCTCTCCTTTCTGCTCTCTCTGAAAAGCAATGGAAAATATATCCTCTGGTGAGTAAAAATAAATAACTAAATAAACTTGTTAAGACATGTACTTATGGGAGATATATGGGGTGTCCCCCCAAAAATGTATAAACACTTTAACAGCTAATAGCTCAACTTTGAAAATGAAATGTATTTTAATAAACACTGCCTTTATAATTATTCAAAGGTGTGTATACATTTTTGGGGACACCCTATTTATACCAATAAAATATGCTGGTACCATAAATTCCAAAAGTTGATGAAAGCTAAAGCATTTCTTTAAGTTGAAGGGAACCTCAAATAGCTAATCTTTAGGATTAGGGGGAATAAAAGAAGAAGTCCTATACAGCATTTCACATCTCTTCAAAATAGAAAGTGTCTTACGCTGACTTTTTAAAGCTGGTTTATTTCTTTAGAACCACAGAGCCCGTCGTCTTTGAAGAAGTGAGCTTACTGTGGGGTTATGACAGTGTGTCTTTGCTGAAATTTG